GAAGTTTTACCGGAGAAGAAATCTCGTGTCACTCGCAGGTACACGCAGGGGACGGAATCAAGAAAGGCGAGGACCAGGAAGCTTAACGAGCAACAATCCGGAGTCAGCCATGTCCGGCGTTCGAGGTCGCCGGCTACTCGAACAGCCAGAGGAATGAGTAAGTTCCAGGGGAACATGAAAAGCAGTGCCATGACTCCCATGAAAGTGACTGCACAAGCTGGGGACCAGCAAGAGGCAGCGACCGCCGAGAAAAGAGACGAAGGAACGGCGGAGAAGCCGCCGGACGGTACAATTCAGCCCCCAAATGAATCAATAGAAAACCCACTTGTCTCACTTGAATGTTTCATCTTTCTGTAGATTTTAGAACTGTTTAGTGATGGGATCTGTAGATTTTAGAACTGTTTAGTGATGGGTTGGTGTTGGTGTTGGTCCGTTGGTTGTGTCTAATTTCTGGAAATGTGTTGCATACAAGACTTGGTTAGTTACTGTAGTTGTTTGATTTCTTGTCGTTTGCTTGGACTGCATTTCTTGTAAATGGTAACCAAACCTGGTGGTTGTTTTGACTCTAAAAACAGTAACCCAGTACAGCAGGAGAAGGACAATACAAAACCAAAATTACCGTACCCCCACGACTGAATAAAATTTCATTTCTCGTTGGTTTCGAGATTCCAACTTGTCTGGGGATCTGAAATTCAAATGGTCCTCCAACTTCAAGTTGGCATCTTTCTTTTATTGTTTTGGGGAAAAGTGAAATCTTTTTCGTTTCCCCTTCTTTTTTCTTTGTTTGTATTGAATATGCATGGAATAGAGGTTAGTCTTCCCTGGTGGGACTGACTCTGGAACGTTTCTCCTTTCTTTTTCTCTTTGTGCTGCATTGTGGACTGTGCTGTCCCGAGCACTCCGGACAAAGGGGTCAACAAAAGTAGCGCAGAGCCCAAGGAGAATTCGCACGAAGATTGCTGTTAATATTTTGAGCCCATCTCTGTGGATCTGCCTGTTTATGCCAAAAGAGGAACTAAAACTGCAACGCAATTCTCTTGCCAGAATGATCATCATCCCGTTATAGTTTTTCGTCTTTCTCTGTGATAGTAATGGCATTATATAGGATCATGCGGTATTGAAAGCTTTAAATGATCATCCTCTGTTCTTTTTCTTATTTGTGTTTTGGATGCTGATGTTTACTTCTTTTCCCAGTTGGCGGTTGAATTAGTTCAATAATTACTGAGTTGTAAACTTTGATGTCAGTGAAAGAGGCATGGGATTCATTGTGAACATAACAATCAGGGTACTAATCATGGATTACAGGAGCTGACCCAGCTTGCAACAATCATTCATTTTCATCCTCTCTTTAATTTGGTGGGGTCTGGAGAAGGCCCCAAATCCACATCATCAAATATAACCTACAAGGCTCTACAATAATATTGCAAGTTAGAGACTGAAGTTTGATGTGACTTTCACCATGTTCTCAACTTTAGAATGTCAAGTTGCAAGTCAGAATGAGACCCGTGTTCTATAATGGTGTTATTTTTCAGGTCAACTGGTGTTGGAGCTTGAGGATGGACTGATGCTACTGATGCTCAATTTATGTTGGTGGACAGGCTTCAAAATGGGCTCCCGAGGACAAGGTGCAGGAGCAGGGTGAGCTATGTAGGTAGGAACTTCCTCACCGGGCATCAATACCGATACTCCCCGGGCGTAAACTGTCATCTACAGAAATCAAGAAAAATAAAATTGAATCAGTAAATTCCAATGAAAGAGAAGGAAGTTAAAATTTGCTCCAATTTTGCTCTTCTAATGATCGTTAAAAGCATCTCTAAAAAAAGGTATAATACATTATAGGAATCACCTAGCTAATATTATCATGGTTCTGAGATTGCTGCATGGATTCAGTAGAAATGATGCAATAGAAGTCCTAGTCCAGAAAATGATTAAGCATGTTTGACAGACGCAATAAAGAAGGTTGTTTTGGTTGATTGTTGCTACAAGTTCTCATGCATGACATTTCAATATCATATTGAGAGAGAAAGAGAGAGATTTTAATAACTTGAAAACTGTAGAGCCACAGTTGAATGGAATTATAAATTTGATTAAAAGATAGATGAATCAAAACCTCACTCCAAGAGAACAATTAATGCCTGTCTGAACTTTTGTTCCCTTTTTCTTTTGCCTTTTTTCCCCATATGAGGAGAAAGAAAAGCCACATGATCAAACATGATGATCACTAAAAGCAAATGTCCTCAAACAACAAAGAAAAAACTCATAATAATGATCACCATTCTGATTTTCAGTTGAAAATAGCTGGCCTATGAGCAAAAAGGAGGACAACTTTATCATACTTGAGATGCAAGAATAGGACACAAACTAGTGGATGTAGATTCTGAGTGATCCAGTACCTCCTATTTCAATACCCTTCCACTCTGCTAGTATATTTTCCAACACAATAAAATTGAAAATATCACTCAAATCTTTAACTACCCTCCCCCTACCAAACTGAGCTGTATATGCTGGTATGGTACGAGTATACCATATCATATAGAATGTAGGGAAGATATTGGAAATGGTGACAGCTGAGACTTTGAGAAAGCTACAAATACTTCAAAATATGTGCACATTTCTATATTGTAATCAAAAAGGGAAACATATCATGTGATTGTGTTTCTAATTAACTTGCTACTGCACCTAAGCCTTATGAACAGTTGTGCTACACCTTTCTTGATATGAACAGTGCATTTAATGGTGTAGGAACAAATTTTCCACGAAGCTTGTTAAATCGAGGTGACTTTTGAATAATCTGTTTTCATTTAAAATGTCATCTGGCACAGCTTCACAAGCAACTAATGCTTAAAATATGGAGAGCAGGTTGACACATTTTAAAGCCTTGTGGAGTTTTGCCTATGGAACTTTATTCTGGTTGGATTGCTATGACAATTGAGACAAAAACACATGCTACATACATGCTGTGGACCCACTATCCTTAAAAATTAGAATGAGAGAAACTATTGCATTAATGTTAGCAAACAGAGGTAATGTAGGGAAAAAAATTCATAGGAGAACTGCTTGGAAATAGTTTAAACATTATTAATTGACACCTAAGTTTTGGGTTTGCACAGTGAGAGATAAAACTCTGGTCATGATCTTATCACCTTGCCAAAATAACTCTTGTAGCAACTTAAAGGAAGAAGTTGATCTGAAAGTCTAAAGCTCAGAGAACATGGCATGGGATTTAAATATTCAAAAGGGTGGTAAAAGATCATGAAGTTGTAATGTTGCAAGATAATGGAGAACATGATTTCTCCAGAGTCTTAAAAGTTAAAAACAGCTCCATGCTTAGATGTGAAATACTACAAAACAATTTATAATTAGTTAGACCAATAATGCAGCCCACTAGAGAAGCTATAACTTGTAACAATCAATGCCATTCTTGAAGATAATGAAATCATTTTCACAAAGAAGTGGGCTTCAGGCTCAGCTTACCCTCAAGGCTCAAATCAGCTAAAAAAATGCTCAAAAAACTGTTCAGAATTTTGAAAGCAGAGACTGTAATTTGACAAACCAAAGAAAAAAAATGCAGTTGCAGAGAAGAGAAGACAAAAACCTTAGGAGATGGGTAACGGGGCTTTCCGTCGAACACCATCTGGGCTTCAAGATCGGAAGGCGGCCGGCCGATGGCCGGCGGCGACCTGGGTCTGAGAAACCTCTCAAAGATCGCCATGACAAGGAACATAGAGATGAGAATGGCCGTGGCCACGAACCCAAACGACACCGCATTGACCGAATCATCAAAACGGGTCCAGTACTCCTCTCTTTCTGGGTTTAACGGGGACACCGCCGGAAGCGCAGGGGCTATGGCGCCCCATTTCTGCTCACCGCCCATTCAATTTCAAACCAAACCAAACCCCACCTGATTAATTACTAATAACCCACGCCCTGTTTCTCCTCTGCTGCTGGAACTTGCTAATAATAGTAAAGGGCCATGGTTGCAGAGAAGGGGTTTTAGAGAGAGGAATTGGGTGTGGAAAAAGGAGGTGGAGGGAGAGAAAGGAGATGGCTAATATGATTACAACAAGACTGATGAATCAAACCCCATGTGCCAATGAAATAATCAGAGAAAGAAAGAAAGAAGAATTCGAGAGTGGGAGTGGGGATTTTGCAGAAGAGAAAATCGGTTGCAGTTGCAGGCTTTATTTGCGAAATGCGAGTGTGTGTCTCAATTGCTTTTAACGTTACTTTCAAAAAGAAAACAAAATACTTTTTGTTGGGCTGAGTGATAATTCTTTATAAAAAAAAAAAAGGAAGAAAATAGATTTTTGAATATATGTATACATTCAGAGTTGTGTTTATGTTAATGAAATGCAGAGAATGTTTAGATATAATATGATCATGGGTTGATATTTTATTCTTTTGTTATGTGAAGATGAGATATAAATGAGTATAATTGAATCAAGAGGAAAATAAAATATGGGAATTGATTGGAAATGTCATGCTTAATTGATTGCATTGAGAATTGAACTTATTTCTTTATCTATTTATAATAATGGAGTCTCACTTAAGAATTAAGATGTTGATTATAATCTTTTAAGTCTGGTATAAGCAATAATGTTGACATTTGACTCTCCCTCCCTCTCTCAATTTGCTGCCAAATAGGTAGTTATGATGAGGTTTAATAATCATTATAAATTAAATCATTATGGATTAACTTAGTGGCTTTGAAACATGTGAAAATATTAAAGGGATTTTGACAAGATGAGTGACACCTATTTAATACATAAGTACAGACTAAATATATGTTATAGTATTCAATGTTTTTTACTTTCAATATTAATATAGTTCAGCAGTAATTGACATATATTATTTTAAATTAGAGATTCAATTCTCCATATGTCCATATTATTGTACTAAAAAATTTGTTGTTTAAGAATTTTCAATTTAGCTATCCATGTTACAACTTTTTCAATTCCATTATTTTCAAATGTAAATGCTAAAAGTAATAGATAATAGGCTTATGTGATGTGTGAATTGACATATTTTTCATTTTTGTTAAGAGATCAATTCTTTTTCTTGTAGATTATTATCAACTTTAATATAAAAAGAAGAGATAATTGAATATATGTTAAAATATAAGGAATTAAATTAAAACATTTTAATCGATGGGTACTAAATTGAAAAAAACAATCAAATTTAAGGATTAAACTAGACAACGCCTTTGTCATTTTACAGGACTAATAAAGTATTACTTAAATTTATAGGCATAATTGTAGTATTTTGGTTGATTTGAATCTAGCGGAAGTGATTAAAGATATTTATTATCATCTTTAAAATTGAATTTTCACCCCATAATTATTGAATTAAAAGAAAAAAAAATGTAATATTTTGAAACCTGATCTCGAATCCAACCCACCAAAAAGGTGTTAATCTAATTTTAATTCAACCATAACTCCACAAGGCCATATATATATTTATTTATATTGGGATCTGGTGGGGTAAATGGCACGTGCTACCAAACACGTGTCAGTGCAGAAATTTATTTGTAGTTTCAGTAGATGCGGTCTTTCACTCGTCAACTTATACTTACCCTCTTCAGCTTTCAGCCTTTCACGTGCCCTCTGCGTACGACATGTCGAAAGCCA